TATTTATGTTAATATACTCACACACACATATGTACAATTTTAACAGGTTGGATGAAAGTACGATTACAAATTTGGAAGACGAGAGAAAAGCCCAATTGCTGCAGTGCACTACAGATACGCGACACCGCACACATGCGACCATCCAGCCCTTCGATCACAGTTGTCAACACGAACCTGTCATGTGACACCAAAATGACACCAAAATGACACCAAAAGGACACATTCTGGGATCACCAAGCGCTGACACCTACTCTTACCTGAAGTGTGGCTCGATGTTTAACAACTGCGTCGGTTTTTCTTAGCCTCAGATTGTCAGCTCGGGTGCCTTTCCGCACTTTCTCACCTACACCAATATGCAGAAGTTAGGTTTCAAAGGTTTAGGAATACAGACATGGGTTATTTAGAGCGTAGGAATATCGACATGTCTAAGCCAATACGCAGTAGTGGAAGGATGCAACCCAATGACAGAGAAAGACAAGTATGTCGTGACATGAGTTATGGTGACGGGTAGGTAGGTATATCGGTTGCTAGTTGTATCTGGGCTTTGAAGTCGTGGATATACCCCAAGTCCACACCAACAACAAGGATCAACAAAATGGTAACAGTACCAAACCAGCAACACGCTAACTCAGCCCACACTCTGTAGCGAGTGACTGTGGTGACAGATGCAGTGACTACTACCTGCTATAGACTGAGCGACGAAGGTGCCATTGGTCCCTAAATGTTCTGCACGCGTGTAATATAGTCAACGAGATTGTATCCCTACAATATATGCCTACACCGAAAGGTATGAGTATTTACCTACACGGAGAGCTGTCGGTAATCTTATCAAACTTTATCTTGCTTGGGATAGATGAGTGCAAATATTCTTCTCTAAATTCAGATGAATGGTTGGATGTGAAGAATTGCGAAAGAGCCTAGAGCGTATAGAAAGGTTAGCGTTCTTTTGGTATACACCTCACGCCCTTCACGAAGACAGATCATGAAGCAGGTTGGGGGTGTCAAGTGCAAGGGCTACCATGCCACTTACATATACATATACGTACACAAACACATTGCGTGTACCCTCGTAGTCACGCAATCCTCACAAATGGTGCACGCAAAAACTACTAATAATGCATATATATATATATATATATATATATACATATATATATATATATATATGTATATATAAGAATATGTATATATATATATGTATATATATGTATTTATATACATATATATAAATACATATATACATTTATATATATATATATATCATATATATCATATATATCATATATATATATGAATATGAATATGAATATATATAAATATATATAAATATATATATATACATATATATAATATCTCATAAAAATTTGAATCATCGCCATAGCATAAATGCAGATAGTTTATACACACCTTTGGGATTAGAGATGTATGCCTCTCGTACAGACGTAGGCGCCAGTTTAATCTGCTTCATCTCGTCATTATCAGGCACCTCAGGAATAAGACTAAAGTGCCCCAAGTACGTCAGCCATACCAGAAAGGCCCCTATAAAGGCCCCAATAAACTCGGCGACCGAGAGCACGATCCATTCTTCGGTGGTGACTTTGCCACAGATCCATTTGGCAAACATCGTGCAGGGGTTGAGCGTTGCGGAGACGCTTCCGAACGATGCCACGGCCACGTAGAACGCAAGCCCAAAGCCTTGGAGGAGAGTAGTGTGTATTATATTGTAGGTAGAGGTTGAGTGTAGCGTATGCATACTGCAATGTAGCACAAGCATACCATTGATCCATACAGATATATACACTTATACTATTGATTATATAACCTACTATGAGCATACCTACCATACAGATATACGCACTTATACTGTTGATAGAACACCCTTCTATGAGCATACCTATCATACAGATATATGCACTTATACTGTCGATAGAACATCCTTCTATGAGCATACCTACCATAAAAATACATTCACTGTTTTGGGCACACCTAGCCATGTGTCTACATATTTAGACCTATGCGTTGGTTACGAGACTTCCCTGTAACAGTCGGAGTCATATAGCCTCGGACGCAGACCAAAAACAGAGACATGTGAACAATTTGTGCATAAAAATAGGACGAGTGCAAGATTACCTACCTATTGCCACACCAGCGATTCCCATGTGGAGACCCTTCGATTGGGCAAGCAGTTCAGAGGCCAGTACACATTCTCCCATCCCTACATTAACCATGGAGATTATTTGAAACACGTTAACAAGTTGTGAACGCAGGGGGTAATGAATAGATTGCGAAACCACCACGCCGCCGTCCGAGAGAGAACTTACAGTTTATATGAATGGATAGAAATACGTATACGCAAATGGACATATAGCCTGCGAATACAATATATAGACCCATACACACCTATAAATTGAATGCACCATCCACTTTCATGTAGTACTACTGTCGCAAATGCTACAACACATACAGATAAATAGGTGTTCATATACTGTTGCACGTGGTTTCTGTGTGTCGGCGCAGATGTATAGCTATTGGCCAGTATACGAAAAAGTTGGAAAAGACGAACACATTTATATATATATATATATATATCAATACATACATACATGCATGCATGCATGCATATATACATACATACATACATGCATACATTTATACATACATTTATACTTATATATATATACATACATAACTATATATATATATATATATATATATATATATATATATATATGTATGTATATATATGTATATATATTCATGTATATATATATATGTACATACATACATATATACATACATTTATACATACATTTATACTTATATATATACATACATAACTATATATATATATATATATATATATATATACACACACACACACATACATACATACATAC